AATGTTTGACCGGGTTTTCTACATAGCAATCGAGTTCCTACTATGCCCTGATCACACTGGATTGATTTTTTTCTTTAATAATAATAATAATAATAATAATAATAAAAAGCCAGTACAGTGGAGTTGGGGCATAGTGGGGACGGAGAGGTCACAGTTCTACAGATTTATTACAACTAAAATTAAATAAACGCTTCGATGGGAATGTGTGGATAGTATGTTCAAACCAGTTATAGCGGCTTAGAAGATATCGTTGGACCAGCAATAATGTACTTAAAATTTAATATTTAGTCTTATGCAGGGTGGATACGATAAGGGTTGATCGTCAGTCTATAAAAATGTACTGTCATAGTTACTCATATATCGTAATTAACAATATAATGAAAATCATTTCATTACCTGTTGACTGTTGATTCACACACACTTAGCAACCTAGAAACTGACTACGGCCAAAGTGTAAATTTACCTTTTTTTTTTGAGTTTTTCCTTAATAAAAAAAAAATTTGACTACAGATTTTTGAGAAAATTTGCATTCAATAATGCAGATGTAAATTTATATATATTTTATTTATTCATTATTTTATACATATTTAAATTATTGGTCTCCTTTATTACCTAACACTAATTACCTAACCTATACATTATAGTATCTATAATGAGTATATTTGATATAATTGTGTTTAAAATTAATTGACCAAAAAGAGAATCGGTTATTGTCAGTTTTGGCCGAATAAGTGTAGCTCAGGATTAGGACTGCCTGTGTTATTGGTCGTGATTAAAAGTGTACTTTTTGGAATAACAATACAAGTAAATAAATTAGGTACATTCATAGTTTTTCGGTAATACCATTTGGAAATAAATCAAATCAAAATTATAAATTCAAAATAAATAGGTGTTAACATTTAAAGTTCGATTTAGCTAGATTAGCGGCATGCAATTTATATCATTTATAAAAGTGCAATTTCAAACAATTAAAGGAGTTGACAAGGAGTTTCGTCGAAGTATTGATTCGTTTAAACAATTTGTTTTCGAAAAAAATATAGGTAAACAAACTCACTGTTTTATACCATTGTAGATTTGGAATTATTATTTGGCACACTTGCCCACGGTTTAGTAGGAAAATCGTTTGTTTCTACATGTTTCAAAAACAAAAGAAATTTGAACAGTCATATTAATTTTATAATAGTTAAATAAAACACACAGTAATATATGATGTGGTGACGCAGCCACTAAAATAGAACTAGTGCATAAGACATAAGTACCTAAAAAACATACCAGCTTAGGTTAATTGTGCGCAAAACGAGTTTTGTAATTATTGGGGAGATTTAAATTGTTATTCACTTGTGATAGTTGATAAACATCATTTATAAGTCATTCCTCTATGAGTAATAGTTTAAAGTGTGCGCAAACAAGTTTCATGGCTTTAAATTAGTTTTGAATGTAAAACCAACATGATCCGTCCTAATGATCTCTTTCCTTGTTGTCATGCTGACTTTTGTAATTTTCATCTCTTTTTTTTTTTTTGTTTTTAATTGTTTCTAATTCTACCAAATTTGATTACAAAATAATAAACAGTAGAGTATATTATTTTTTCACACAAATTATATACTAGTTAGTAGTTTCTTCTGAAATACTATCCAGATTGCTTTCGTTGCCCATTAAGACTTAGGTCAGAAGTACTATTACTATTACTATTAGTTACCTCCAGCGTTATGCTATACATGGTTTTTAACCGAATTGCTACCGAGAATATGCGGTTTTCTAAAAGGTTTATACTAATCATTCGTTTTTTTATAGTAATAATAATATTTGCACAATTGTATATAATTATTATTTTTATCCCAACAATACATGCAAAAAACTAACCACGTTTGACGGCAAAAAAATTATTAATACTTAGTATTTATCATTTGATGCAATAGATTTGAGCAATAAAGGAGATTTTTTATCAGTTGTAACCATAGATATATAAAGAAATTTTTATAGGTCTATGGTTGTAACCACTTGGGTTTCATTTCTAAAACCGTGGTTACCTATAGCCGATTGAGAGTCCAGATCATAACGTCCAATGTCTAGGTCTCTATGACAATAAGTGATATCACAGTATAGATTATAGAAACTGTACAAAATAAACTGATGTGATCTGATGGAACACAAAATATACACACCATAAGTGAAAATAAGAAAAAAATAATTATTGTTTGAAATCGGGACAAAAGCGGGACGTCGATTAAAAGTCGGTACATTTTACTGTCCCGATTTGATCACCATATTTAGCGGGACACCTGCTTGAATATCGGTACTGTCCCGCCAAAATCGGGACGTCTGGTCACACTATCCAAGATTAGCCTACACATATTTCCCGCTTAGGTCTTGTACCAAAAGCTCCCAATAAACCGAGACCGGTTAAATTATGTTTTGCCAATCAAAGCCACGTCTACTCTATTTTTTCATCTCAAATCAAACTAAAATCCAATGTAAGGGTATTATCCATTAAAAATAAATCGCTTTCTTTGTTTGGCCTAATTAAACGCAATTGCTCTAAATTTAACGACCCAATAGCTTTTAAATGTTTATACACGTCGCTGATAAGATCTCATTTGGAATACGCAACGATTATTTGGGAAACTCGTAATATTGGCCATTCTAACCTGATCAAAGGTGTCCAAAACAACGTTATCAGATACATTTGCTTCAAATTTAACATAGAAAGGCCTCAGCATTCTGGTTATAAAGATATTCATAATTTTTTGAATCTAAAATCTCTTCAAGATAGAAGAATTGATTATTATTATTCCTTTTTAAAAAAACTTTTAAATAACAATATTGATGACCCATTGTTGTTAAGTCAGATTAATTTTAAGGTTCATACATGTAAAAATTTTTAATTTCATATTCCATTTTACCCACAAACTTATATGTCATCATCTCCAGTTAATATTTTGTCAACCACCGGTAAATAGTGTTAATAGCGATTTAGATATACTTTGTTAATGTAAATATTCTTTAATTATTGTTCTTTTTGTTAATTTATCCTTCCCTTTATATATTTCTTTATGTACTTAGACTGTCATATATTCTTTGTAATTGGACTTAATTCCGTGATTTTAAATAATAAATAAATACATTTTTTAATTTTTTTTTCTTTTCTTTTTTATTTATATGGATAGGATATATAAGTTTGAAGCATTTAGCAAATCCATTCACACAAACATTAGGTGATTTGGTATGAAATGACCCTGATAGAGTTTTTTGCCCGCCATTAGACAATTAGGTATGATGACTAGTGATGTGCTTCTAGGAATATTCCTTCGAAAAAAAAAAGTTTAATTATAAAAGTACAAGTGTAAATAAGATACTAAGTAGTATACAAACCTATATTATAATATTATACTTTTTTTATTTTATTTTGGATTTTCTTCATTTTATTTACAATTATAAAATTATTAATGTTTATTACTATTTTTGAAAGACTAATCAAATGACTAATGAGTAATTAGTTCATTCAAGTTTAAAAATGAAAAACCTAACTTCTATTCTAATAGATTTATTGAATATTTGAAATAAAATAAAATTTAAACAGATAGACAGTGTTAATAAATAAAAAAAAAGTAATTATTTAAAAACCAATCTTTACACACTTAATATCAATCAAGATTGATATTAAGTGTATAACTTAAATTCGATTTTTTATCAATTATAAGTTAAATATATTTTTGGGATTATGAAAAAATGTTTCTATTCTCCTATAATATTTGAATTTAAATAATTTATAAGTATAAGTTAAATTTAATGTAGAAACAAATGAACATCTATAATATTCCCAATCAATTTCCGGTCTTGGGAATATTCTGGGAAATTTCCCGGGTATGAGTGCGAAAAATCATATGATATAAAATACAGGGTGATAAATGTATCGCGAACTTCTTAATAGGGTTTAATAAGAAATTTAATTTTTTTTCATATTGTTTTTTTGAGTTTAAAAATTGAGATGTGAGGGGAAGTGCGATTGAGATGAGCGTGCAGATAAAAATAATATTACACTCCACCTTTCCTCCTGCCCTAAATTAAAAACTTCAAAAATGGTTATCCAAAACTGGTTATCGACCAGTTAAAATTTTTAATACAAAATTCTCAATTTAAAAAGTCTATAAAATGTGTACGTTACCGTTTAAGTTTCAAAAGTTAATAAAAAAATAATTAGTTTGGGAAGTGGGTAGTAAAATAGAAATTTGTGGAAAATTGATATCACATTATATAAGAAAACAAAAAAATTAATTCTTTCTTAATTAATTAATTCATTTCTTATTAAACCCTATAAGATATTGAGTGGTTCACGATAAAAGTATCACCCTGTATATAAATGACGAAATCATTAGTAGATATTGAAAAAATCAAAGAATTATATATAAGAAAAAAAAATTAAACACATTAATAGTAATAACTAATAAGTATCTACTTATAAATATGTATAATCAATGCGGTAGTATAGTGATAATTAGCATCGTCAGAACAAGGCTGTTTACTTCAAAAGAATTAAAACATAATCTACTATCGAACAATGATCACTGTAAAAAGCCAGTATCTATACTCGAAGAAGTTAGCCGACGGACGATGGAGCAAAAAAACTAGTTTAGGGTAATACACTTATAAAAAATGTGCTCAGTGTCAAATTTGTATTATTTATAAAAAAAAAATTTTTACACAGCTGTAAAAAATACTCTCACTTTTTTAAGGGGTAATTTCAAATTTTCCTCTATTTTATTCAATTCAAAATTTGCAATAACAAAGAGGAAAAAAACAAAAAGATTTTTTTTTATTACAAAGAACCACAATTAATACCTATATAATTGTTTTGGTGATCCCTAATTAAGTTCTCATCACAGCCTCTTAAAACACCCACTGCTCCTACGGAAAAATTCAAGGTTTACTACTCTGCGCGATACTAGAAACTGAAATTTGTTGATAAAAAGAATAGTACATTATTTATCTGTACAGTCAGCAGTGTTGATGCCCCTGAGTAACTATGTCCTGTGCGTTCGTGATTTTTTTATTTAGTTTTCTGGCCGCCGTTTTTCCTATTGAGAATGCCTCAGTCGATCAAAATGCTACAAGAAATACGTTTTTACAAAATTCTACTTTAGACAGAAATAATAACACTAACCACGGCCTAGTTTATCCCAGAGAATGGTTGGCTGATCTTTTTTATCAATCGTTGGTGACATTTTCGGTTAAAGATGTCGGAAGTTCAGCGTGTAAACAGCAAACACAGATGTACTTAAGCCATTTGAAAAATAATTCACGTTGGGCGGTAAAAAGTAAGTGATTATATTTTACTACCAGCTGCAAACAATAATACACAGTAAACCCATTGACGGGGTTGAATTTTCACAAACTATTTACATTTAAGCTGGGAAATATAAACGAGTTAATGGCATTTAGTTGAGTTGATAAGTTAATTATAATTAAAAATGAATCCCATACAATTTATCTTTTTTTTATAATTAACCTTATTATAAACTAATTAAAAAAAAATATCATTACAAAACCAATATCAATATTAAAGTTAAAATATGTGAGAAACAAATGTCTTCTAAATTTTACTGTAAAGGCTTGATAATTATTCAAATAATACTTTTTTGGGGTCACAAAATTCGATATTTGCATTATAGTTTTTCTCTTTACTTATAGGAAGCTTCCCCCCTAAAATAACCCTTCCATTATAGGCTCAACTTAAAACATTTTATTTGAATAAAACTTAAGTAAAAAAAAACGAAAGATAGGTAGAATACGATTGCGTACGCTGCTTATTGGCCTTTTTCATAACAAGATTCTGTACGTTAATTTTGTGCAACGTGGCCATGCTGGAAAATCACACAATATATGGGTAGAATACGATTGCGTACGCTGCTCATCGGCAATAAACTTATTAGCATATCTGCTAAATCACATAATATACTCAACATAGACGGAACTGGAAACGATATAAAATGATTACCTGTGATTAAAGTTAAGTGCTGTAGATTCAAAACATGTTACGCGAGTGTATTAACAGACAGTGGCCGTTCAAAAGTACTTGCAATGTTGGGTGAGCACAATCATATTTTAAAATGTACAATAGAGAATCAAATACCAAGTTTTTCGGGAAAATTTTAAACGTAAATCAAATGACTCAATTTCAATTAGACGATCAAAAATAATTTGATCTGAGCTTATGGCAACAGATTTCGAAGTGAAACATTCAGATATAAAATCTATACGGAAAGCAATGTACAATATAAGACGGAAAAATTACCCACCTTTCCCAGATTCATTGACTAGTGCTATAGTTCAGTTGAGACCAATGGAAGAGGATGATTGTGTTAAGTTTAAAAATGAAACATTTTTTACAAGATGTACAATGGCCAATTCCATAGTGCATGCCAACCAACACATGTGGTTATATCAGTACTCAAAGAAATCGAAGTCGAAACGATGACGAAAAAATGTTCAATTTCATAAAGTATTAAAAAAAATATGGCTATATTATCTGATTTTAAAAGGATTCAATCTTCTATAAAGATATATGATCAGTATACGATTGACAAAAATATTATCATGTATTTATCTTAAATTGGGTCTATTTACCAAGGTAAACATTTATTTTTAATTTTTTGTGATTTTTTTATGACGAGTTATACTAAATTATTTGAATTGTATTTTTTTTGAAAATTGTATAATTCGAAAATTGGCAACGTACAACCAACATACGCAATCGTGTTCCCAAAAAGGTAAATCGGGTTCTACCCATAATTATCAGCTCATACATTTTAAAATTGTGCCTAAAAATAAAAAAAAAATTATTAAAAACCAGATTTTCATGTAAAATGATTTCTGAAAAAATATTGGTTTTTTATTTCGTGTATCAGAAATTTATGAATATTGAGTTTATAATTTAACAAGTTATGTTTTTTATGTTGTCTAAAATTAGAGAATGTTTCTAATATTTTTTTCAGAATATCGATGAAATTTTACATAAAATGTAAAAACATCAAACTGGAATCTCCATAAAAATGCTTAGAAAAACAAAAAAAAAAAATCATATAAAAGTCAAAAAATACAGAAAATTATCTTATTTTGTACACATAATTATTTCAACTAATTTAAATGCAGTGGTCGTTGTTCCCCATTTTTACAACTTTTCTATACATTTTTTATTTCTTTTTTTGTTTTACTAAGCATTTTAATGGGAAATCCCAATTTTAAAAATAAAAATTCTTAGAAAAGTCGAAAAATGGAGGAAAACGGCCATTGTATTTAAAATAATTATAGGTGAAAAATAAGATAATCTTCTGTATTTTTTACTTTTCTATGTATTTTTACCTCTTTTTTTGTTTTTTAAGCATATTTATAGGGATCCTAGTTTGAAATATACACAATTTATGTAAAATTTCTTCAGCTTTCTGATAAAAACCATTAGAAAATTCTTAAAGTTTGGATAACATGAATAAAACTACTTTTGAGATTATAAACTATATTTTAATACATTTCTGTTACATAAAATAAAAATCAATATTGTTTTCAGAAAGCTGAGATTATTTTACATAGGAAACTGATTTATAATACTTTTTTTTTGGCTGAAGCTACTATAAAAAATGATAAAAATGAAGTGGCAAGAATCTAATAAAAAAGCTCGGGCTGTTTTATTGTCAGACTAAATCCATTCATGTTTTTTCAGGTGAAATCCCACTAAACTTCATCCGAAAAATGTTTAGAACATTATTTAGTCGTAAGTCGTAACAGACATGCAGTTTAATTTTTAAAAAAATCTACGGGGGTCGCTTCAAACGTTCTATCGTACTTGGTGATTTGACCCATATTTTAAATAATTTTACCATTTTTTGAAATAATAGCGTTACACTATATGTTTGGGTTATAGAAAAAAAATATCCAAAATATATAATTGAAACTTAAATAATAATGACAAAGTATTAATGAACCCTAAAATTCCCAACAAAATTACTCAAACTCTATAAATACGTATTTTGAAGGCTGTTATATATTTACAAAGATGATCTTTAATATATTGCTTATTGTATGAAAACAAAAGAAGAATAATAGAAACACAAAACCGAAAAAAAATTGATCGGATTACGCAACAATATACAGTATTGCTTATACTTGACAGGTATACCTACGTGTACAGGCAAACAATTCCTGTTTGCCTTATAGGATATTCAGGTTTATTTAACATAAACAAAAAAAAAATTTTTTTGAAAAATGGGGAAAAAACGTCGAATCAAGTTCTAACGACTCAATGTAATCAGGTCTAGTTTTTTTTTATTAAAAATTTAAAAAATTACAAATTAAGGCTGGGAAAATGTAAACTTGAAAAGCTCATTAAATTAATAAGCTAATTAAAATTTAAAATTATATTTTATGAAAATATGATAGAAATTAATTTTTTCCGAACTTTACTGCAAAAGACTTGATAATAATTAGTTAAATACTACGTTCTTGGAGTCATCGAGTTTTGTGTTATAGTTTTTCTCTTTACTTACAAGAGGGTCAAAATAGGAAATTTTATTTAAATAAAACTTAAGAAAAAAAAATGTTCTTACAATTTGGTGTACTTATACTAATATTTACTAAGGCCATTACTAATTAATTAAAAGTTTCTAAAGCATTTTTTAGTCACTTTTATTGTTTGGTTTAGGTTATAAATCTACTTTTATTATAATTTTTAGATCATAAAGTTTAATACTGTGCCTATAATATAAAAAAATTCTAATCTTATTGGTGGGTGTGATTTAAACAAACAAAGCGTACAGTACCTTTTTTTTTTATTGTTTTAGTGTCTGACTCATGGGTAAAATACCCAAATGGACTATTGATTGGCCTTACACATCATATTGGAGTTTATGATGAATGCATAAATGTTCATCAACCCGTTCAAGGTAAATATTGTATGTCGAACATCCAACTGCATCCCGTGACAACTGGGACGAAGAAGTTCAGCCAAAAACCTGGTAACAATGATCCTGCTTGGGAAGAAATACTCGGGGTAATTCTAATATTCAATGACTAATAATAATTCTGAATCATTTTGTGAACGCATAAATTGTTTTTATTAAGCACTTCAGTGGACAAAAACTAAATTTTTTTCAACTAATTTTTGTTGAGTCGTGTTAAATAAATGTAATGGAGTTTCCAAAAATATCTAACTTGATGTTTTTTTAAATGTTTATATTAGTTTAATGATGTTGGCGATCAAGTAAGACGAAACCATGTAAATATTGGAATTTGCATACCTGAAGCGTGCACTTTTGAAGATCTTGAGTTTGCCTTACAAAGAAAACTTGACAGTATATTTTTAGCACAGAATGTTAACGCTACGGTTAAAGTCGAACCATCATTGTGTTCAACAAATAAGGACGTGCATCCGTTTGGTATGGGATACCATTTAACTAGGTAATACTCACAATTTATGAATATATAGTCTCATATAACCATGATTAATTTTCGCCAAAACTAATTAAGTTTGATACCTTACTTAGCACAAAAATGTTTAGTATTTTGAGTATTTATAATAGGATTTAAAAACACTGAAAACATTTTAAACAAAACAAAATTACTAAAAATATTAACACTGTAATGTTTACAGTATTATTTTAGTATTTTTACACATTGTCGAGTGTTAATTACTATGTTATACTGATATTGATCAAATTCTCCGTTGATTAAACATCATAATGGGTGTCTATAGTATTGCCTAAACTGTGTCCCTGAAGGGTTTATTTCGGAACGCGGATGTGTGTTATATATACCAACAAAAGAAAAATTATTAGCATAGTGTGACTATAAAATGATTACAGTTAAATTTAATAGTGTGAACGGTGAACAAATAAAAAAAAACATAAGTCTTGAAAGATGCAATGTAGTATAGAAGGAACATAATTAATTATAAATAACCTAGTCGTCCTAGTTGATAAAAATGCTAAAATTTGATCTTATAATGTACACCTTTGCCAAAAAATTAAATCATTAAAAAGTCATATAAATAAATTATTTAGCTTTATATTAATATTTTTTTTTATAGGATAATATTGTATTGTTACTAACATTGTTTTTATGTATTCTATTTATTCTCAGGATTATTTTAGGATTAATCTTTTTAATATGTTGTCTGTCAACAATAGTTCATCTTATAATACTAAAAAAACTAAAGGACAATAAGGAAACGAGTAAGTATCTTTGAAAAAAAAATTATTACAATTCATATTTTTTAACTCCATATTAAACTATGGAGATATGATATTAGTGGTGTATATAGTAAGCCCGGAAAGGGGTTTTACATACATAAAGTATATGAGAGCAAACGTAGACTTTTATAAATAAAAACACTTTTGAAAAATAAATTTAATTGTTTAATAAGCACTGAATAAAATACGTTATAACTGACTGGCTGAAGACTGACAATTGTACAGAGAAATAGATAAGCTTAAATAGTAATATGTAAATTAGTAAAGTGTAACAAACAACATAAAATAGGTTTAGAACAAGAGAAACTAGTATTAACAACAAATAACAAAGTTGTTAATTACTCAGATTGCAAAATAGCTAGTCAAGGAAGTAATATGAGACATGAAAAGTGTACGTTATAGTGACGTACATGATAAGTACATAAATATATAATAATATAATAATATAATAATATAATAAGTAAGCGTGTGCTTACTACAAGATCTTATAAATTGTACAAATTTCAATACTTAAAAAAAATCACATTTATAGTATATGATGGCCGCTGACAACCACTGCACGCAAACATTTACAATAACCATTAATATACATACAAATTAAATTCTAATTTAACTTAATTTACCACTTTTACAGGTACATTTGTCACGTATATTAAATGGTTCTCGATTATCCAGAATATGAGCGATTTACTTAAATACGAAAAAAAGAACCCCTTAGATGCATTTTATGGAGCTAAACTTCTTTTTATGGCCATAGTTTTATGCACTCATAAATATTTGTACATCGTATGGGGTCCTCTTCAGTATCCACCTCAAGTTGAAGATGCATTGGTATACAAATTGTGTAGTGAAAAAATTAATTAGTTTAACATTTTGGTTTTGTGATAAATTTTACTCCAAGTACGGTGGAGAATTCAACATTTAAGACGCTGTAAAATTGTGCATATTCCAATTTTCAGTCCAAAAAACCTTAATTAATTGGTTTTAAAATCTTATATTATACTATCGTATTTTATTCAAATCTACTTCATCATCATAGAAATATACACATTTTAGATAAATATTTTAATCAAATAAACTCTAGCAAACATATTATATATTAAACATTATTATAATAAAGTGTAACTTGTGGTTTTAGATTTTTACTATATAATTATGAGAAAAACCCTATCCACAATAAAATATACTTATTTTTAGCGTTAATCGCAGATCACGTATATACGTTTATAAATATATTTTATTGTGGATAGGGTTTTTCTTATAATTATCTAATACAAATATATTAAATCTTTTTTTTTCAGATGAATAAAAGCCCATCTTTATTCGACAATGTCTTTCAAAACCTTATGTATACCAGTTCAAATGGAGTTGATCCGTTTTTTTTTTTCAACGCATACTTGACATATTTTTCACTGAAATCGCATTATAATAAGCGAAAATCCGGTTGGAGCGAAGTGCCCAGAAATATACTTTATAAATACTTGAGGTAACATACTTTAATCGATTTTGTGTGTATTATGTACTTGTATAATTATTATTATTTTAGCTCTGACGAGTAGTTGAATGGGTATTGTTTTTACAATTTAGTGTTTTATTTAGTTATTTTATGTTAAGCATTTGCTTTTGTGTCTGAAGTCTGGACCCTAGAAGTCTTCTGAATCTACATGTAGAAGTGTATATAGATTAGAAGGGCCAAGTCACCATAGATAGTTGCAATTTTCTCGTTTCTGGTTTGGCTTGGGTTTTAATGACCAAATACCTATTGGTCCAGGGTTGGTTGATCCGAGTTACAAAATCATATTTTAGGGTCGGGATATATGGTATTTTATTTTATTGTAATTTTTTTTTCAATAGAATGGTTCCGGCATATGCAGCTGTTATATTAGTTACCATATATGTTGTTCCTCACATAAGAAGTGGACCTTTTTGGTCTTACAAAATACAACCGGAGATTGACAGATGTAAACATTATGGGTGGACTAATTTGTTGTTTATCAATAACTTTATCGGCTACGATAAACAGGTAAAATTAACATGACTAAAATATGTCACGGATTATTTTTGTCAAATAAATCTGTATGTGCGCATACTATTTGCGTCCCAAAAACTTCAAATTACGTTTTAAACTGTATGTAAACTTTTTAAGAACCATGATAAAAAAAGATATTTTAAAACTTAAAATTATACAAGAAATCAAAATTTTCATCAGTCAAATCTATATCATAAAAACCCTATTATTTTATCCTCTCTAAGTTTTGAATAATTGTAATATATTTAGCACATGAATAAGCAATATTATGTTTTGGAATAGCACTAAAAGCTTGTACAAAGATCTAATGTAAATATGGTTTTTGTCTTATAATTTATCTAGTGCCTCTTACACAGTTGGTATATATCATGTCTGCTTCAGTTCCACGTTATTGGTGCCGTCGTGTCATACGTGTATTACAAGAGCAAGCGAAGAGGTTTAATTTTGATGTGGTTAATGTTAATAATATCATTAATTACACCGTTCGTTCTAACGTTCTATAAACGAACCATCGGATTTGTCAAATTAAATTACTCGTGAGTTATTAGCTTTATCTAAAAAAGTATAAAGGCACTTTAAAACCAAGGAAACACTATTTTAATATTACTGTCGTCAATACTAAAAATTTAGCAATTTTATAACAATGTTGTAAGTTATAACTTAACACATTTATGATTTTATTTGTAAAGGAATTTGGAAGATGTATTCAATGACTCAACGGAATTTAAAGACTTGTACAGACCATTCTATACTCGAATGACACCTTATGCTGCTGGCCTTTTGGCAAGTGTTTTGGTCGATAACATTAATGAACGAAAAATTCAATTTTCTATGGTAAATAATACTAATATAAACGGTATCGATGATATGTTAATTATTGTTGTTATCCAACTGTGAAATTTTAACATTTACTCGTTAGTTGGGTCGGCGGTCGTAACCGGTAAATTCCATTAAAGTAATAATGAAGTTTAACAAATCTTTCGATCAAATTTCTACCTAATAATTGTGGGAATCAAACTTGCTGGTTATGACCTAAGATATATTGTCTAGATATATATTTATTTAATTTTGCTTGTTTTAATCATTTTAGACAACGAGTTATGCTGGAACTGGGGTCACAATGATAGTGTGTTATTTCATTCAAGCCTATGCTGTATTGTTTTATGATAGTACGAGACCATATAACCCCATTGAGCATGCACTGTACGCCAGCCTTAGTCATTGCACGTACACCATACTCTTTTTTGTTGTAGCAGTTTTCCACTCCTCGTGGGGCTACGGTAAGTTTCACAAGAACCTTAGAAACGTGTTTCAACTTATAAAATGTAAATTTAACGCTCGAGTATCCCGGGCGTGGCTATTCATTAACGGGTGAAAACAAAAAAATATTTGACAATAACCATGTCAACCTAATTTTTTTCTTTCTAATTTTTAGCCATTTTGGTAATAAAAAATTATACACACCTAAATTTACTAGTATAATTATATTGAGGTTTTTTTTTTTGTAATAGTTAAACCTTAAAATTGTATTAGGTATTGTTTCGATATTTTACAGGTTATTTGGAAAATGTGTTCAGTAATCGGATCACAGTATTTTTTGGGAAAATGTTGTACTCGGTGTATCTGGTTAATATAGTCGTAATCATGTCAATGGACTATAGCAGAAGATCTGCCGTTTACTTAGGAGAAGAACAATTGGTGAGAACACATATAAAACTGTAAATAGATTACAACCCCTTTAAATTGATTAGCCTCTCTAATATGTGTTTTATCACAAAAATTGGAAATACCCATTATTTGATCAATTAATAGTTAATTTTTACATAAGTGTTATGTTTTACGTTATTAATCAGGTATACATAAATATTAAATAAACACAATAATAATAATTATAATAAATATGAAAAGTGTTATCTATATTTTTAATAAAATACAGGTCGGATTTAATTTAATTATTTATTCCGGTGAAAAAAGTTTTTAGTACCTTATTTGATTAATGTTTTTTTTATACTCTTACATCGAGTTGCTAATTTCTAATTTAATTAATTTTATTTTATATATAACAGTATAAAAACTTGATACTCTGGTAAATGCAATAGCATAATAAAATTATATTAATATAAGTCAACTTAACACAATATTTACTAATTTTTATGTTTAATTTTTTTCCAGTATAAAGAATTTGTTTATAATGCCGTTGCCTGTTACTTCGTTGCTATTTTCTTATATTTAACTGTGGAGGCCCCCTTTGGAAGTATTATAAAGAAAATTTTTTATGGATAATCTTTTGCAGTTGCACGAGAATTCAGAAAAAACTAATTAATAATTACATATGTTATACAGACTGCATTTTTGATTGTTGTTTTGTGATACCTATGGATTTTTAAATCTAATTTTAGAAACATTTTAAAATTATATTTACTATCTCAATGCTGACATATTATAATTAATCTCAAAATAGTATATTATATTACTTATTTGTAATAGTAATTTAAGATCTTATAAGTACGAGTACTTTTGAGCTCTAAAAATTAAAGTTTTAATTTATTAAATACTTATAATTTAATACGAAATACCTACGGTTTTATTTTTTACAAGTATTTTTATATTTTATCCTGCACTTAAACATTAGTTAATTTCAATTTCAATGTTATTTATATACATTATTTATCCTACATCGTTCTTCGTGTAAAATCTTATATGGCAATGCAATAACATTGATGTTAACCAAACAAATTCATTCCTGAATGTAAACACTAATTATCACCCATGCTGTACTATTTCTATAGCTCCATCTACTATATTATACAGTACTGTCTAATTATCTACTCAGTTTCGACGTCAATAAATGCGCAATAAATGTGGTTACTATGGTTTTCGCAATCTGCCCATTTTCTTATAGCCGTGTTAACGTAAACGCCACTATGTCAACGGAACAAACCGGTTAAAGCAACATTTAATCATAATGTTATGTTCATAACATATTTGTAATGAAACAATATTATTTAATCTGCTCTACAGTCATAATATATCCCGGTAAGTCCCACTACAAGACCATAACCGTCATCAAGTATTTCCCTATAAATAATAGACAAATAATAGGCACATTATAATTATACCACCTATTTCGAAAGAATGTTTTGCTACAGATTTTTAAAAAATTGCTTATATTCAATTTTATACTATCAGTTCTATTTTCAGATACTAGTTCATAAACTACCCCAGAAAAACGGAATTAAAATAAATATTTCACCTTTTCTAGGGTTAAAGGGTTAATAATATTTATTATCTCAAAACCAATTTGGAACATGATCTACATCAATGCTAAAACCAATAATGTAACAAAAATCCAGATTTTGAAATACAAACACATGAATGTTTTGAAATTTAATTGTTCTACTTAGGCTCAGCATTTTTGGTGCTTAACGTCATCCAACGCTAGTTAAATTAGTTTTATTACAAAATATTAATTGAAAAGTCAAAAATCAGTATTTTTAGAGAACTCTAAAATGTCCAAAAAATGTCGGATTTTCTACTTTATGTGGCCAGAAATCAAAAAAATTGACTCTTTCTTTGTGAATGGTCAAGAATGATAAATATATGTATAGCTGTGTTAATACTCATTGCGTCGAAAAAAAACCAAGGTGAGGGCCCTAAGATAAGCCGATAGAGAAAAAAAGAGTATACTAACATTACATAACTAATTTTGTAGTAAAATTTAAAAGCAATTAAAAATTGTCTGGAGGATATTATTAAGAACATGAATTCATTAAATGATTACTACAGCTACGGCGCTATAGTAAATAGAGTGATTAAATATGACCAGAGGATAATCAATGAGTCATTAAAAATCTTTTTGAATAAGCCTATGAGCTATGTAGGTTCTAGAAACATCTCTGGTTTTTGTGTTTAATATATTTTCTTCTTGGACAATTTATTCTAACTTAAATTTTGTTATTACAGTGTAAAATATCATAAAAGTTCTTTAGAAGTTTTAATTTAAACTTTGATATTGAGGGCAGTTTGTAGTTAAAGAGAAAACTAAATATTAACTTTAATTAAATACTAAATAATACAAACAAAGACATTTATTGTTTCTATAGTACATATTTTTGCTATCTATAGATCGTATCTAATCGTTTTACCGAAAGAGGATTTATTTATTTAATTATAAGATTTTATATATAATAATTTCTTAAGACATTTAAAAATGTTAATTATTAATTTAAAATTCCAAAATACTAGGTTGGCCTATTTTTTTGAAACATTTCTCAACAAAAAATGTGTTTTTTAATTTTTAAAGGCAATTTACACACAAACTACACGCACTGCGCAAAATCTTAAAACGGATTAGGACACTGCAAGAAAAAGCATATATTATAAAAAGTTTAAAACAAATTTGTTTGTTTTTACCAGACTAACCAACATGGACTATTTCAAAATATCTCAAAGTCACACTTTTCTTTACCGGCTGCAGAGTATGTGTAATTAAAAGTAGGTACTATTTCAAAAATATCGTAAAAACACTTTTGCCAATAAACCGTTTTAAAATATTTTTCCTAGAAATTATAAGTATTTCTTTTATGTCCTGTGTTAAACATCCACAGTCATTAAAAACGCGCCTTTCACTTTTTGTTTGTAACGTTAAATGCATTATTTTATTTAATAACTGTAGTTGAAAATTACCAATTAATACATTATCATATACTCTCTATCATAATATTATTCAATATTCCCTCAATTGCTTGTCGTACGACCTAATTACTACAATAAGTAATAACACTTTATTGTGTCTGCAAAAATACTATCTAGAAACTCTGGATAGTGCTTAACACAAGCACCGTTAGCAGTAATGTACTTAGGATTTTGTCACCTTCAAGGAAGTTTTTAAAGCTTGTAACTATAAGTTATTTAGCATTGAAACACGGATTAATCATATTCTACTATAATAAATTGTTAACTGTTAATAGAAAAACCAATTTTGTTGAAAAAAAAACATAAATTATTTATATTCAAATGTAATGGTACAACTTAATTTAAAAATATAGGATTTGTTTTTTTCAGTAAAAACAAGGAAAATACTAGTTAATTTTTTTTTTATATAGTGAACGTGAATATAAATCAATTTGTTCAACACATTTTCCAACCAAGCGTTTATGTAATGTGACCATAAAAATACTTGTATGCATCTAATATCATTTTGTCAATCTTCAGTAATGAAATATCAACAGCATTGTAAATGTCTTTTAAAAAATGTGACTTCACAGTGCAGCTTCCTAAAAATTTGGCACTAAGACAATTGCTCAGCGTAAGACGATGAGGATACTTATTTAAATACTAGCTTAGCATATTATAGTTAAGTATAAATCATTCGGTTTTAAGACATAAGACAGAAGGTGTTAGAAAGGTGCAAAGTTTAAAAAGTTTACATCTTAAGTTAAAACTTTATGCTAAAAATCAGGAAATCCTCTAAAAAAAATGTCAAAATTAATGGGACTATTTTTCAACTTTTGACATAATATAACTTTGAAAAAATTGTCCAAACATTCAAAATTGGAAGGAAACATTTATTACATATGCACTTATCTGACATTAGCATTACTTTCAAATTTTCCTGAACATCCTCTCGCCCTAGGGAAAATTCGTTTATTTTAATTTATTAAGACTTAAGAGATTACAACTAGACAGAAGGTCTAACATATAATAATATTTATGAATTGCACAATTGTGACAACAAAAGTCTGTTTTTGTTACTCTAATAAAATGTTTACAAAACGACAATGCAATCCAAACGGAGACACGGGGAAGACGTAAGAAAGAGAAGAATCTTCCCACCCATCCCATGTAAATTGTAAGTCAATTATGCATGTAGGTATAGAGAGGTATAGTACCACCTAGTCCAAGTATTAGAAACGTCAACGCACATATTACACAGAAAGTATATATCTAAATGATATTTCTAAATCGTATACTTAATAACCTGACAATAATATTCAAGGATTTCCAGTTAATAAGATATACTATTACCTTTGGTGATTTATTAGTTTACTTAAGCAGCAATATTTGATGATATTTGGACAGTAAGTAGTGCAGGCGCCATAGAGTTAAAATGTTCCGTGAAATTGTGATTTTTTCATTTATTTTTCCAAGTGTCGTTTTCTGTCATGAGAAGGCATTTGTCGAAACAAGCGCCGTTTTCGATATAGCAAATATGGTTTTACAAAATTCTAGTTATTCTACTTTAGACAGAAATAACAACACTAACTACGGCTTAGTTTATCCTAAAGAATGGTTAGCTGATATTTTCTACCAATCCTTGGTAAATTTTTCAGTTAGAGATGTCGGAAGTTCGGCTTGTCAAATCCAAACAGAAATGTACTTAAACCATTTAAAAAATAATTCGCGTTGGGCAGTAAAAAGTAAGTGTTAATCTTTTAATACCAGCTGCTGTTGAAAATATTTATAAATACAATTTTAGTCAAATAAGGGAACAATTTATACAAAACATATTTTAGCATAATATAAAAATTTTTCTAAAATTTGGAAAACTACTTATGTAGTTAATTAATAACTTGATTGTTGAAATCGATCAAAGGTTCATTAATCATATTAATAGTAATAAAACATTTTATATGAAAGGTATTTTTACCAAGTATTAACGCGTCGATAAGCTGGTTAGGGTAAAAAGTTAAGTTGGTTTTGGTTTTTAACTTAACTAGTTACTCTATATATTACAATTAAATCAATGTTTAGAATCAACTTGTAGTAACTATCTAATACATTTTACTTTACAAAATGTAATACCATAATTTATCTTATCTAAAATAATAAATATAAATCGTAATGTATTTATAAACAAATTATTTTACTTGATTACTTAATTCATAATTTCGTGTTTAATTTAATAGTATGTATAAACCTTTTTAAATCAATTAAAACATAAATTGTTATACCAATAAATACAGACAAATAACATTAAACTAAGCACAGTAATACACAAACTTCGGAAGTTTAATTGCTTAGAAACGGAAGACATAGTTATAAACAAATTTAATTTTAGTTTAATAATTTTTACTTATCATAGTATGGTTTATTTCCAGATTCTAATTTTTTTTTTTTTAATAATTGATTGTTGTTACATACATTTTTTGCAATAAGAAAATGTGGATTCTCATTATTTATCTGTTTTAAAAGAGGTGCTACAAAAATTCGAATTTTTACAAAAGCCGTTATTTGAGTATTGTAAAAATCGTATTAGTTTTAATTTTAAATACAATTTGTAGCTAATATTATGTACCTAAATGAAAAAGATTTGATCATAATTGCAACCATTGCGTTTTTTTGTAGTGTCGGATTCATGGCCTAGGTATCTAAACGGATTATTAGCAGGTAGTACATATCATATGGGCGTTTACGATGAATGCGTAAGTGTACATCACCCTATCCAAGGAAAGTATTGTACAGCATATCTATACCTGCGAACGGCATCGAATCAGAGCTTCGCCAATTACAATAAAAACGCATACGGAAGTACTGAAAACGCTTGGCAAGAATCACTTGGGGTAATACAACTAAAAAAACTCAAATTGGCATATTAAAAAAATATAATTTCAAAGTATTTTTCTAGTTTATCAATTACGATGATATGTTTAGAAGAAACGAAGTTAAACTTGGTGTGTGTATACCAAAAGCATGTACACACACAGATCTGGAAGTGGCATTGCAAAAAGAACTCGTCAGAGTATTTTCATCTCATCAACTCAAAATACAAGTTGAAGTTCAACCGAGCTTGTGCACTACTGACGAAGATTTGTTCCCGTTCGAAATTGGATATTATACAACAGCGTAAGTAGAACTTTAAATGAATACTTAAAAAGAAAAGAATCTGATTAAGCTCAAAGGTAAGCCCTACATTGAGAAATAGCGCCTTAAGTTGTACATTATAGGTATTTTTGCCAACAAAATAGTATTTTTTGTTGTTAAAACAAACAAAGCAAAGTTATTATAATAATAGAAATACATGGTTTGGTAACTCTTTATAATTTTTGTATAATCTTATGCCTGGTTAATTTTTCAGTATTTTTATTGGATTGCTGACCCTAACTGCTTCGTTATCGACAGCTTATCACTTGATATTTTTGATTCGCAACGCAGATGCAAAAAAACCATGTAAGTATACAATACTTCAGAGGTCAATCAAATACAATAACAGGCATGAGAATAAATATTTATAATTACCAAAAATTGTTTAGTACACGTTTCAGAAATGATAATAATGTTTTCTGTGATTAAAAACGGAAGAGACCTAATCAAATACGACAGAAACAATAATTTAAACATTTACAATGGTATGAAGGTTATAACAATGGTTCTAGTGTTGTTCGGACATAAATTTATATTTTTTATAATAAATCCCATTTTGAATCCGGCATTTCTCGAAGAGGTAAATACCATTAACGTATTATACAATACTGTTAATATAATATTATACCCATATCCTCATGGTATGTAAATAATGTAAATAGTAACTGGAAATCAAAAAGGTAACGATGACCATTTGTAGTGGAAAATATATTGCCTTAAGTCATAGAAATAGGAGAAATTTGAAAATGTATAAAATACATTTCTAAATATTTAATTTGAGAATTCAAAAAAAAAATTTCTGAACACAGGTTTTTTTGGAACTTGTTTAATTTTTTTATATTTTCAATTTTTAAACCGCAAACAGTTTAAAATGTATTTAAAAATGAGAAAAATTGTTTTTAAAGTTGTTTTTTAAAACAACCTATCCAGCCATTTCCCTTAGATACTGTAAGAAATAATTCTATGCATCAAACAATTTAGAATAACTTTGCTACACATCTATTTTCGGATTAATTTACAATAATATGTTACGGTACATTTTTTTTTTTGTATTTATATTATGCTTTTGAGTAAGACGTCGCAAATTAGCAATTCCCTTTAAAAAATAATTTTTTTTTTTAATGAACTAGCGAAGTGTTAGGTCAAAACATATTGTCTTACTTTTGACCTTTGCAAACTTTGCAGAGTTACTTTTGGTAAATTTTAAAAATATTCAGAGCCAATGCAAATCTCAACAGTTGAGGCATTTATAAAGATTTATGTAAGCAATGATAGGTATCAATTTGTTTTTGTACAATAGATTTCGAAATTCATAACAGCGCCCCATATAATGTTATTTTTTTCCAATTAAGCCTATAGAATTTTTTTTTAATTTCTACCAATTAACTTGTTTCTATTTCATTTTTAGACTTACACGGTGGGTCCATTCTTTTTGTTGACTTGCATGAATCTGGTTGATCCATTTTTCTACATAACCGGTTACTTGACGTACGCTCTGCTAATTCCGCAGTTCAGCAAAACGGGGACCAATTGGTTTCAAGTACCACTCATAATTATATACAAATATCTAAGGTAATGTTGGACTTTTAACTGCCAATATTATCTCATATTATAATAATCTTTTCTACTGTTTTTTCTAGAACTCTTCCAATTTATATCATGATGATGCTTCTCACGGCATTTGTTATTCCTCATCTGGGAGATGGACCGTTTTGGTCACACAACATTTGGCCCGAAGCGGACAAATGCAAAAACTATTGGTGGGCTAATATATTAGTCATAAGTAATTTTATCGAAGCCGACAATCAAGTGAGTAGTAGTAATTTGTATAATCTAAAAATCCCTGTTGTATCCTTCTTTCTGTTTTCAGTGTCTCATCGCCAGTTGGTACATATCGTGTCTTCTGCAGTTTGTTGTCATTGGAACTATCATTATGTACATTTATGTAAAAACACCCAAAATCGGTACAAACATAATAGTTTTTCTGTTTTGTGCATCGTTAATAATTCCATTCGCCATGACGTACCACTATAAAGCATATGGAATCGTCAGAGTAATGATAACGTTAGTGTTTTTATATTATATTACGCTTGATTATTACTGGTATAGTAGAAATTATAATTTAATTTGTTGTCATTTTCGGTAGTAATCTAACAATTGTTGATAAGTCATATTACTACCTACTATTGCCTGACTTTACTATGGCAAAATGTTTTATAATATACACTAAATTAGGTGCAGAGGTGTAGTTGCCCTTCGGAGTTTCTTAGTAATCCACATTAGTGTTTTATGGATTTTTATAGGTTCTTGGAAAAGCCAAGCAACTCATTCGAGTATAGAAACCTTTATAGACAAATATACATTCGAGGTATACCTTTTTACGCCGGTATGCTAGCAGGAATTATGGCCGACGCCTTGAAGAGAAGGCAATTAAAAATATCCACGGTAAGAGTTAAGACTATAAAATATTACAATAAGTTCCAAGACGTCTTTGGCCAGGGATAATACCTACTTGAATTTTCAGATAACTACGTATTTCAGTACAACGATAGTGATTATTATATGTGTGTATGTTCAGTTGTACGGTAAAGTGTTCTACCATAGGCAAAGACCATACAATGCAATGGAGCAGGCCATTTATGCGACCATTAGTCATTGTACTTGGACCGTAATGATGTTTTGGATAACTATTTGTCACGTGATTTCTAGTTACGGTACGCTGCTAATTATACTCAATATTGCTTATAGGTATCTGAAGTGTTTTTTTTCTTCTAGCCCTCCCTTGTTTTATCCCTAGATTCGCCATTGGTCCCGGTAGTTGATATTTAAGGAGCTAAATATCTGCAATATGTGCAGGAAAGTAGTTTTTATTATTTTAAGTCAATTGATAATTTCCATCAAACTATTGTTAAAACTTAAAACACTACAAATACATTTATTACCTATAAAGCTTGTATTATAACCTAACCTAACCGATGATTCGGTTTGAAACGGTTATTTATTTATTACTTTCAGTTATTTTTAATTCCCAAATGTTTATGACTTTCCTACCACTGCTATGTCCTAAGTCGTACAATAGCTTAAACTAACCCGACTCTGTCTGGAGTTGTCTTTATGTAAAATTATAGATGCCTATTAGTTTTGGTACTATATTCTATACAACTGTACTTGTTTATACTTTTTAATTTTGTAATATGATTCACAGGCCCGATGGAGAAGTTATTGAACAACCGATATTTTGTACCATTAGGCCGGCTCTCTTATGCTGTATACTTAGTTAATATACCAGTAATGATGATGATCGAGAGCTCTCAGCGGGCACCTATAGGAATAACACTTGGAACAATGGTAAATATTTACAATGTTCAGCCCTCTTATTTACTGGGTTTATATTGAACGTTTTCAAACTAACCGGTTTTTAAATACGAATGCAATGAATAATCAATTTATTGCATGTATCTAGTTATATAGTTCTAACAAACTATAATAAAAAATTAATATATTCTTTTTAAATTTGAATTATTATTATTATTATTTTTTATAGCAAAACGGATGGATTGCTGGTGTTTTTAAAACATATTTGGCAGCCATAACAATGTATTTACTTATTGAAGCACCGTTTGGATTACTGATCAAAAAATTATTACTGGAAAGGTAAATTAAAATAAATATATCTTAAAAGTAAATCTCTTCACGTTAAATAGGTATGTTAGTTTCGGTGCATAGCTGAAAAGATATTGTTTTTACAGTAATTTTCTTCAATATTTTTATACTTCTACATATTATATTCTTTGACTACACCACTTAACTATGGCCAGAGACTATTCTGCTTACTATTTTGTTGATTTCTTTTATAAACAACAAAATCAATATTTGTCTGAATTTTACTACTTAGGAGAACTCAAAATGCTAAAAATATAAATTAAACAAAGAGCTAAATATTAATTTGATATTTTGTTGCAGAAAACATAATAATGCGAGAACCAATGATAAAACAAATCAAAGGGATTTAACAAGTAAAACAGTTCATCCGGGACTAAATAACACAACCAAGCTTTAAGAAAAAACACTTACTTCACTCGGGTTTTAAAAACCGTTTCGTTAACATTGCTAGTCATTTTAGAATAAATATATACATTTTGTATTTATTTACTTTATAAACAAAATTTGCTTGTACAATTTAAGTATATTTACACATGTGATTAAATATTCGAAACCGACGATAACTAATAACAGAGGTTGAAACAGTTATTTTTTTTTTACAAATGTGTTCAACTATAACTGTTTTGTTTTTGTTAAACCTTTACTTTTTCCATTTAAAATAAGTTATATGTACAAAATTGGTAATTGAAAAATAGTAAATGATGCGAGATAATTTAAGCTATTAAGATGTATAATGTATAATCTTCTTTTGAATAGATTTTTCCATATATAAATTAAAATTATTATTGTAATTAGTATTGAGGTATATTCTAATATCATGTTATATTCCCACTGGGTACAGACGATCCTAATCTTTTCCACCCATTCGTCTTAAATGGGATAAACAATTTTCTTTTGATCGTTCCTGAACAATTTAACAAAAATAGATTAACTGATTGATGATCGAAGCCCTTTGCCCTTTGGTTTTAAATTGAATAAGATGTACAGATATTGGACGATTTCTCCATTTGGTACAGTAAAAACAGAATTTTTTCAGTTATTATTAGTATTTTTTTTTTTAAGTAAAAAAAAATTTGATACTACTTCCATAAATTAATATCAGCTCAAGAGATGAACCACCGATAATTTTAAACCCTCGTAAAATTATTTGTGTTATAATATTTTTTCATACCCAACTGATAATGTATAACAAAATAAATTTATCTCGGTTTAGTATTACCATTAAATTTTTTTTTTTGTATAATTGCATTTCTTTTATTTCAAACACGATACAATTGTAAATTGTTTATTTTTAAGGTTTCGAAAAACATCAGCGCTCAAACATGTACCGATAGAAAATAATACAATTACAATAAATTGATTTTCGCAAAAAAAAAAAATATATATATATATATTTATCATAGGCAATTGCATACATTAAATAATGCTCAGGCCATAATTGAGTTTATATTTGTGAACACACCAACTTTCATTAATGGTATAGTTATAATTATTGTTATGATAATAAAATATAATATATTATGTACACAATCAATAGCAATATTTTAATGAAAATATTCCGATCAAGATATATTATAAAATTATATGAAGTATTATCAATAGTAAATTATTATTATTACAGAATATTATTATATTACTTTACACTAAATTTATACAAAATTATTATATAGTTTGTAAAGCACGATACCCGTACATTTGAGGTGCGCTTTTATTTATTAACTTCCGATATAATAGTACGATCACCATTAATATAAATATAATACAAAGAGAGAATGCTGTTATATGGAAAGGCCGCTTGTGTATTGAACTATATTTTAATTAGTGTCATATATATATATATATTTTTTTTACTTAATATATTAGCTGTTTAATTTCGTTTACACAATTGGAATCGACTTTCACAAATTTAATAAAATACATATATATTTTGTTTTCCTTGAATAATAATTAAATTTATTTTTAAGAGTAATATAAGTCAATAGAAAAAAAAAATAGAAACACTAAGCTATTTTATGTATAATTATAATAAATATGCATTCAATCTTAATTTTATAGATCCATAAATATATATTTTGTAATATAAAATAAAGGTATTATTTATATTTGACAGAAATATCAAACATAGGTAACACACAAGTACCGGTAAGCATTTTTCTAAAATAAAGCGGTGGTAATCAAAAAAAAAATAAGAAAAGTTTGTCTATAAAATATATGTTAGAAGTACTGGGTTTTTTTTTTTACACAACTATTGATATATATTTAAAAAACAAATGCAAATGAATAAAATGTACGATATTATAAAAAAAAATTAACGTTTTGTTTGAAAAATAACACTTGCATTAAAAATACACTACTGGCAAAAAAAAAAAAAATAATAATAACTTAATAGGTAAACGTGAATAATACAAAATGTTCAAAACTTACCAATGTTACGCTATTTAAGTAGTACAATAATAATTATAAACAATTATAAATAATAATAATAAAAAGTGGAGATGGTAAGTAAACATTACATACTTATAGGAACAATGTGAAATAATAAAAAAATGTTTATATAAACCTAAAATAGATGTACAATTTGTTTCGCGTATTTTAATCGGACTACATAAGTACAAGCTGCAATAATATTACAATACACAAAATAATGACTACATAACAAACATAGGTTACAAAACGTAATGAAAGATCGGGAGGCCTAACTGATAAAACAAATCCCACGATAAGTTATTTCAGTAAATAATAAATTTACAAATTCTGTATATTTTATAAAAGTAATAATACTAATAATAATAATAAGAGAGCTAAAAAAAAAAAAGACCAACGGCCTTTTCGAATAGTTGGCTACATTTGAAAATGCGTATGCAGAAACGCATAGACAAATTACAAATACGATATAGTGGATCGTTGGTTTATGTTCAAACGTATTATAAGCACTATATTGCACTATCTAAGTGGGAATACAAAAAGAAATTGTTCAGAAATAATATCGTAGCAAAAAAAAAAAAAACCAATTTGCGCAATAACCGAGGGCAAATCTAACAATTGATTTTGAAATAGTTAAAAATTAAAAAAAAAAAAAACATTACACTTAGAAATCAACAATGAAAAAAACTCGTTGCGAATAAAAGCAATAGCAGTAGTATAAAACGCTACAATAATAAATGCTAGCAAAAACACAGTCCTTTCTTATTATTATATCGATTCATGTTCAGTCGTTGAAATTCAATATTCTCGTTTCTCGTCTGGTCTGCCGCATTAGACCGCCGAATCTTTGCCGACGAACCGGGTTTGCGATACCGAACGTCGAACGTCGTACTCTACTTCAGTGTCTTTTTTGTTCAACCTGTATAGGATAAAAGAAAAAAAAAATTATACATACATACATATATATATATATCCGTTTTATTAACTCTGACACTCTTAAACCGACTTGTCAATACACAACGGTCTTTGCCGTACTCACGTTTCTGTCGGCTCGATGCGCATGTTACTGCTCTGGTAAGTGTTGCCGTTGGTCAACAACTCTTTGCCTTCGCTACAAAAAAAAAAAAAAAAAAAAAATGAAAATGATTACTTTTATCTCAACATTGACCGAAAGATTGAACGTTTGAAAGCGAGTTAGTATACTTTTAAGTTAATCAAAAAAAGCTTAAGCTCCGTGTGAACAGTTAATACATTAAAATATGTTATTACAATTCCAGCCCATGGTTATAATATACAGCGGGCCACCCGTTCTGTCCGCATGATTCGACAACGGTCCATCGTTAAAGCCTTTTTGTTAAATGCTGCATTACTGACACAGCGCAGCGACATTAAACACAGTACAACGTAGTTTTTTTTTTTTTTACAAACTTAAACATTTTATTTATTTATTTTTGTCATACACGTCCACGCATACACATGTTAATTTATTATGTTACATTAATCAAAACGAATTTGCATATTTTTAAGAATAATAATTAATTGTACTGTGTTTAAGTTTTGCACGGCTCGTAAAGTGTCGCCGCGACACCGTTAATATTACGTATAGTGCAACAAAACGCTTGGGCAGGTACATAAGAAATGTAATATGTAATTTTTTTTTTTTTAGTTAACAATTATTAGATATAGAAAAATTATTTTGAAAAAAAAAAGAAAAGCAATACATATTTATTTTTAATATGCAATACCCATACACACACCACACACACACACACACATTATTTTTTTTTTTTTAGAAGGCATACGGCAAAAAAACGTCGGTCGTGAAAATATAATATATTCACAGAACAGAAAAAAACAGAGTAAAAAAAAAAAAAAGAAAGAATAAAAGCGACCAAACCAAAATGATTACATAATAATATTAATAATAATTAATTAAGAGACAACACGTTTCTTACAACACAAAGTTCATATCTGGCAAGGGGACTTTCTCTACGTCGGAAGTGTAACTAGAACCGTTTCCATTACTAGATGATTCGCCAATGCTGTTGTTGCAATACGGCAACGGAAAACGCCAACCGTACAAACTGAAAACGGCCCTCACAATTTAAACACAATTCAAAACATCCAAGTCTCCGTTTTCACACTTTGACTACAGCTAATATTTAATTATATGGTTAACAGTTATTACATTATATTATGTTATTACACACACAAAACAACAATACCACGGTTTTTTTGGTAAACACAGTTGCATACAACAAGTTGCACATAAAATTGAGTTTGGGCAAAAATTAAAAAAATAGTTATCATTGCATTCACATTGAAAAAAGTTTTACATACACACACACACACATATCTGCTATTGATATAATAATATTTGTACCTATATTTGTAAAGTTTGCCGCCACCATTTAAACTACATTAAAACGGTTCTCGGGGCAAATACAAGTTGTACAAGGTTTTTGAAATAATTGTTTTAGTTTTAATAGGGGAGAAAAGTACTTTACCGAAGTGATGCATATATTTTATTATAATACCTACATAAAAAAAAAAATCATGTACTGTAATATGCCTACGATACACATTTATGGCAGTGGCCGGCCTTAAGATAAACAAAACAAATGGAATCTTTAACATGTTCTCTATTATAATAATAAATAAGCTCAGATTTCTTTGCTATTGTGTAATGGTCAAGTTAATTAATAATCACCTTGTACTGTGTAATGCATGAACACAAAACAAGAATAATATGTAAATAAAAAGATATTTTATAATAATATTCACAAAAGCATATATTTATCGTTAAGCATTCTCTTCTTTATTATTATTTTTTTAACCGAATAAATGTTTTAAATACTTGGCGGGGTTCATTGCGTTTTCATTTCTCAAAACTATGATTCCATTATTTTTTTTATAACTTGTACGATTGCTTTAGAGATATGGCATATATTCGTCAAAGTAATGGTAAACCATAAAAATGAAAATATGCCTTCTACGAAAAAAGGGTTATGCAAATGCTATGCAGGTTAAAATACCAATGGCACAAAGAGAGTAAAAAAAAAAACATAAATAACGTAGCAATGTAAAGTATTCAAAGTAACACAAACAGAAAAATTGCAGTGTGTTTAAGTATTGTTTTCCATAAAAAAAATCGTTATCAAACGATTATTATTATAATAATTATTTAAATATGTACACAATGTATTTGATACATGCAAAATGAATGAAATGTTATGATTGGCAACAAAAAAAAAAAAACCTAAACATTAAAAAATATTATTTACTGAGTTAGGTATAAATTATTGTTGAAGGGATGCGGCAAAAAGTCACAAACGGTAAAACAATTAAACAATTCATCGATTATGGCAAAAAATATAAAACATTTTTTTTTTGTTTCAGTGTAATAATAATTGTCGCAAACTGGAAAAATTTGTTTGAACTGTTTGCCGATGAAAACTATTAATACAGTAATAATGAATAATATTTGGAAAAAGTTAATTTTTATAAAAAAAAAAAGAATATAATTTATTTGTCATGATTTACATAAACTGTCAGGTATAGGATTTAACGGTCTGAAGTTTTATTGACTTTTACGAAGCACTTGTCGAGGTAAAAAAAATTGAATTCAAAATGTAATTAATAAATAGATTAAAAAAATATATTATATTACATACTCGAATAGGACATGTTATCGTTTTTTTTTTAAAAATTACATTTAAATATGAAAAAACTTCTTTGTGTACTTAAAAAAAAAAAATGTAAATAATGCATAGTAAAACAATGTACGTTCGTTTTGAATGTGAACACAATGTGGATGATGATTATATGGAGTGCCCAAATATTATATTATGCACATACACACAAATAAAAATATATAAAAAAAACCCCAATTAGTAATATTTTACCAGTAGGTATTAGTTAGTTATAAGATAAAACTGAGGCATACCTTCCGAGCTTTGTGTCTTCGTCTCTTTTCTTTTTGCGACAACACCATCCAAACAATATGAATAAAATACCTGTATTAAACATTTTAAATAAATAAAATAGTAAATTAGCTTATAAAATTATTATTCGATTTATTTTAACGCCTTACACTGGTTAAAATAACTGCAATTATGTAGTTTATCTTTTTCAAAAATATTTTTGTTTATATTTTATTACATACTGTTAGACAACATTCAAATTTTTATTTTTTGTGTTTTATACAGCTTTATCAACTTTTGAAACTTAAACGGTAACATATATAATATATTTAATTGGATTTTTAAATTAAGAATAATTGACTGAAAATGTGGATTAGTCGCGATAGCCAGTTTTTAATTAATTAATTTAAAAGTTATTTGATTAAAATTTAGGAAGGAAGTTGGAGTGCGTTTGAGTAACGCTTGCCAATAACAATAACTCTACACTTCACCCTCGCCGACGTCCTAAATTTTAAATCCATTTATTTAAAAATTACTATCGACCGGCCAAACTAGTCGAGAATCGTTCTCAATTTAACAATTCAATAACATTTTAAGCCCTTTCAGTTGATAAAGATTTTAGGAAATACTAAAAAAGAGCCAAAATTAGATAATCATGAACCGCTTTAAAAAAAAAAAGTGTTAATATCGAATAAAATAGGTTTGCCCGAGTTGGGAGATGAAGATCTACCTGTACACACATTAAGGAATTCGGATGCAAACCAACGTCTTAGAGTCTGGAGTTGTTCGATATTTTTGGCTGCGCCCCAGAGTTTAATGCGCAACCCCATGGCATAGCTTGTAATAGTATATATTATTGTTTAATTTAGTGTGTGCAAGTCGGTTTTGGGCGTTTTTCTTATTATATATTATATAAGTGACTAGGAGGCAGATGAGATCGAGATACGGCCGCTGAGATCCAGAAAGGTACTAATATTTTTTAAATTTTATTATATGTATCGTCAATTGATTCGATAATTTTCCAAAACGGTCATCATTCATTGTATTCAAAATAATGCAAGGGTGGGGAGGGGACTAAGGAAATTCATATCCTTCTAAACTTGTTCAGTCTATAAAAAAATGTCAGCAACTAATCAGGGACGGCCCCCCAACTAAGGTTCTATCATTTTTACTGAAATTCTGAGGGAGCTTTCAGAGTTTTTAAAAGGTCTCAACTTACTGAGCCCCTCTAGTTGCCACAATGGAATGCGATATTGTATAGCTGTTTATTATCAGGCTAAATAAAAAATGTACTGACCCGTGTTATTGACAAAGTAACAAGACACGTCTATGACGACCAATATGGTGAATAGCACGGCCAACACTATGCTTATGATGACCGACGAACTGAGACGGTTGCTGTAGGCTGGCTGTAACGGTATGTCGGCACCTAGAACGACGGACAAGCATTAAAAAAAAAACAACAACTAAGAAAAGTAAGTTATATAATAGTATAGGTATTTTATATTGTAATGCGTCGCCAACGACTTGTGTGCCTATACAACAAACAGGCGCATTCTCGACTTATGGATGCGATTGTTAGGGAAAAAAACAAATTTATAATTATAAAAACGTTGATAATAATAATTAGCTGCGGTGTTAAACGACGATTTAATAGATTTTTTTTTCATTTATGTGTGATTGGAGATTGATAATAGCTTAGGTTATAATCGCTCAAGACATTACCTGTGTGTGTTCATAACGTAGTCAGTGCAAACATTTAAACACGGGACACTTCCACACACACACACGACAGACAGTGGGTCATAAATTAAATAAATAAATAATAATAATAATGAAAAAATAGAAGCGTTAGTGCAAAGCGTTGGTACGAAAATATGAAGTGACAAGTTTATATTATTATATATAATATATATAAAGAAAAAAAGTCCCGACCTGGATGCATACAAGTAATATATTATTATATTATAGTAGTAGTGTTAGATAGAGCTTTGTCATTGCCTGGATGTTTCCACGACTGTCGTTTTCCGGGATTGCAACAAAAGACATGCAACTCTTTATATTACTATATATGTATATTTTGCACGTTATCTTACCTGGCCATGTTATACTTTACTCTAACAACACAGCAGAATACATCACAACAATATTCGCACAATAATAACAAGTTTTTTTTTGTTCTATATGCAAGTTACAACACATTTTTTTGTTAAAATAATAATAGTTCAATATTTTTGTTTATTATTGTCAAATTACACAATATATCGGTGTACACAAATCGATGAATTTACAACATACTATAATAGGTATAATATAAATAGGTAGGTTTACACTTGTAGATATACATAATACATTTTTATTTCTATAATATTATAATATGTGTATATTTGTTAAAATTATTACTTAAACGAGATGCTCAAAAATGTATTATGTCATTATCAGTTTCTTATGGGCGTTTCTTAAGTTCTTTGTACCTACCGAGTCAAGCAATATTATTATAATAAACTTGTGTTATCTAAATCAATAATAAAGTAAAAACCACTGCATCTCGAATCTGAACCGTAAGTGCGTAATACAATCTCTAATAATATTGAGTTTTGTGTATAATACACACAATTGGGTACATAAGGTACTTGTCGTTTATGAGAAAATACTAAATTATAACGTGCTGGAATGTGTTGCTATAAATGCTCGTTAAAAAAAATGTGATGTTGTCGTCAAAGAGTTATTCTATTTTTTTTAGCATCACCGACCGAATAATTGGAAAAGAAAAAAAAATGTATCACAATATGAAAATATATTTTTACAAAATAAAAACTAACTACTACTAATAATAATAAAAAAAGAAAGGACATCACAAACACTCACACTAAAAAAAAAACGCTTATTATATGTATAATAATGTATAGTATATGGTCTAATTTCTACTTGACTAAAAATAGTATATCATTATAATATTAACAATAACACAAAATTAAAAATAAAGCAATAGGTACACGTTTTTAGCAAATTATATTTAAAAAAAAAAATAATAATAATAAAAAATGCCATATCGATTTACAATTACAGGATAACGAAACGGTTAACAACAAAGTGCAATGATTTTACTTGATTATCGTTTACGTTGAATTTAACATATTAAATTAAAGCATTTAATTACAAACACAATAAAGTGTCGTCGCTCTTAACTGTAACATGAAAATCTCGCTGGACATACACAACACAACACGACATTATAATCCGTTTCATTCGTCGTCTCAATCTTAAGTGCAAGATTAACCGTTAGGGATTAAAAAAAAAAAATAGGGAATCGTGGGAAGCGTTGACGACTTAATGTTGCTTTGATTTCTGCAAAAAATTACAATCACCGAAGCAATAACACGGTCAAGTCAACGAATATTACTGATTTATACTATTTTTTTTTATATGTATATTTTTTTTTGATCCGTAACGGTCTTGGATGAACGACCCGGTTTATAATTTTATATATAGATGTCATAATATTATATGAGGTATAAATAACAGTGGCGCCGAAATCATGCATTTCATGTAATTTTAGGCGGGCTGGTTATGTTAATCTCCAATTACTGTTGTTGCTTTACCCCTTTCCAGTGTCCCCCGTTGAACACTTTTTGTTTTGTTCTTTAAATTGGCAACACTGCAACAACATTGATAAGCAAAGTCGCGACCGCAAGAGATATGCTGTATTGCTGATATAGTCGATACAAAAGGTATAAATTGACTTTGAATATAATATTATGATTAAATTTATTTGCCAAAAAATATGTTTACAAAAAATACGTGTAGTCGCTATAATAGACAAGAGATGTAAGAATTCGGATTTCCAGTGTAAAAATATATATATTTTTTTTAAATGGCTCACAAAAATCTTTCTTTTTTTTCCCACTCAAACATAGTATTTTAAACCCACTTTAGTCAGTGCTTTTTGCAAGCATTTTTTTTTATCGAAAATTTAGAATTTTACATGTAGTTATAATACTATACAGCTCTAATGGGTAATTTAATGATTATTTTGAATTTCCCTTATTTAAAAACGACGATTCGGCGCCACTGGCCTAAAATGATTATATACAGACACACCCTATGAACACAGTAAAAAGCTGTCAATAGCCAGCCAGCTAAAAATGAAATAATTTTTTTTTTTTTTGTTTAATAGCGAATTATTCGTATGAGAAAAATGGGGGTTTTTTTTTTAGTATAATAATCAAAGAGCGATTGTGTTTTAACGGATGAACCGGATAACCGCCACCGTCAATAAGGACATGAAATGGTACACCGACGGTCGTCTGATTGCATTTGCCGAACTGACGCTGGCGACTTTGACGTTTTGCTCTGTAAATCACACATAACACACAAAATATTGTTGGAGTTTTTTAAAAAGAAAAAAAACAAACACAGTGGGTGCGCGCTCACAAAAAAAAACCAAGCCTTTGAAAATACATATACTATATTTATATTATATACTTTCAAATATACCAGTACACAAAAAATCTAAAAAAAAAAAAATAGCAGAAAGAGAGAGAGAGAGAGAGACAAATACATTATCGCATTAATACACAAGCGGACGTGGGATTACAATATGCACATATCAAGTATTGCTGTTATATTATTTTGTTTTTAGTAATTTCGTTATATACAGGATGGTCCATCTTACTCTATTTCCATAAATACGTAGAGGAAAAATTAATAAAAAGTCTTAGGGTTTGAATTTTCATATATTTCTTTGTTCGATATGGCTTTGCAATGATTTGAATTTAAGGCGAATATTCGATCGGTCTTTTATACAACGGTAGTTTCAAAATAATCATATTTCCTGAGAAATGAGCGTCTTACATCGGATGAAGCACCCTGTATACGACGTGTGGGGTTTTAAAGTGAATTAAACGATAACGATAACTACCTTTGAGCACTCCAACCCGTTAAATTGTGCACTCACTACCGCCCTAAAAGCCTACAAGACCAAAATAATAATAACAATTCTTTAGGATATCTAATTTCATAGTTACGGACGTGGGCGGCGAGCTACGGTAGTTCTAATGTAAAAAAAAGAAGCATTTTTAAAGGTTCATGACAAAAAAATAAAACTGAAATAAGTCATACCGCTAATGCCCGTATCAAAGAAAAACATCTCTTACATATACCATTGCTTGGCCGTGTTTTTTTTTCTGAATTTTCTAGTAGACTGAATTTTTGAAAATTAGATAGTCATTTTTTTTTTGCAATTGCGTTCAACTTATTGAAAATTAAGTAACACTACAAAAATCAGTAAGTCAAAAAGATATGGATACTTAATTTGTTTAAACAACATTTAATCTAGTTTTAAAATTCTGTTTTTCTGGTTGATTTTTTAATATGTTTTTCCTATAACATAATTGTAATTTTAACGGTGTGGAAGGGTTTCTAAATGTTATGGGACCATCCTAATAATCCAATAACGATACGCTAGTTCCGCTTATATTGTTATAGCGATGGAAATGGGCGTATTTAATACCATTAAAATAATGGTAACAATACAGGAAGGAAAAATAAACGACAATGGATGAAATTATTGTTATTATTATTATTATTATTATTGCTGTTGTAGAGTCCGGTAAGTAATCCGATGGAAAAAGCAAAAAACACTCTTCGTTTTAAAAGTTACAAAAATAATAATAATGATAATGTATTATTAGCAAGCATAAGTAGTAAGCAATAGAATGAACAATAGCAAAAAGCTTCATCTATGTACAGAGCAATCGTAAATTACAGTCTCTTGTTTCCAAGTTAAAAGCTCAGCTTTTAATGAATTTTTGTTTTGTTTTGTATTGCTATTAGTCGATTCCTTTAATGCGTTGTATGAGAAATAATGACTTAAAAAAAAAATGTGAATATACAAGGCGAAACAAATATTTTATAGAATTTAACGGGCAGCACTTGATTAAAATACAAAATCTTAACAAAACCCCGTTGAAGTTTCGCATCGAATGAGAAGAAAACGGAAGCAATTGTTCGACTCGAAGCAATGTTTGCTATTATTGCTTGTTGGTGAATAATTGAAAATCCGACGAAGAATAATAAGGACCCTCAACTGCTGCGACTGGACACAATGAAAAGACAACCCCGTAAAACAAACAAACCCCCTCACAGGCCCCCCCCCCAGGTGTTCCGTCGCCAAAAGGAATTCATAATTATTATTCTATAATATAGAGGCGAGTATTATATTATTAAGATTGTTGTTGACTTTTGTTCGTTTGTTTTTCGGTTAAAAATAAGATCACTATTTACGTTTCGTTCTCAACTATATGGCCAGACCATAGGAGTAAAAAAATATCACCCCATTTTTAGAGGTGTCAAGTGCGCATGGTCGGTTGCATCTTCTCTCGCCTTAGGAACCACCGGGAAGCCAACATGGAAACCCGGGACTTGTAACAATATTATGATATATTTAGCCGAGTATACACTAGTGGCGTCCCGAGGCAAGGTAGGAAACCTAACTTTATATATATTTCCGAATTGGCGTCCCAATGATCCCTAATTTTATTTTACATAAAAAGGTCTTCAGCATAGCTGCGGCTGAATTTACATTTAACTCTTAAACTTAAAAAACATAATATAATATGTTTTTCTCGATCGAACAATCATTTTACAAATTAAATTTAAAACAATACCTTCGCAGATCCGCATCGAAGCTAATAATGCAATATCAATTTAGTTAAATGCAAAGCTACAAGGAAAAACGGCTATAATTTAAGCTATTATAAAGAATATGTCAACAACATAAGTGCACAACCCGCACCTGTGAGTCTTTTTTGAAAGTTACTAAACTTTTATCTATTTATTTGCACGGGTACGGTTTTTTTTACAAAAACACGACTTAGAAAATAACCTAGTCGAAAGTAGACTTCTGTTACGGGACTACCTAAGGTCGGCTACCACCAAAGTGCTTCACATTATAGAGTGATACTACAATAATAACAGCTATTGTCTTAAAATCAAGCGTCATTATCAAAAATATTCATGGCTGGCGCTAGACAATATTACAACTTAAGGCAAACTCCGATTTTTCCGTCTTTTTAAATATTATTACTGTAATAAAAATGTTCAACTTGCACACGAAAATTGCCACCCTAAGTTGCCTCTATGTCTTGCGTCGGCCCTGACTACATTGTATACAATATAATAAATAAACATCATACAATAATAATTGTAAACACCTTTTAGGTACATGCGAGTTAATCTAATAGGCGTACAGCAATTATCTGCTTCGGTATGTAACATTAAACACTCAGCTCTAGACCTTGGTTTGTTTACAAGTAATACTGCCGCACAACCACCAATCACAATTCACTATCGAGTATTATAATATACTAATATAATGTTAAATAATATTATATTAAAATTGAATATATTTTGCGCGAAGGAGCTGCTAGTATTGTGGAAAATGGCAAAAATCAAATAGGTCGTTTGTGTTTTCGATCCGGACACGACAGGACTCGGATGGTAAGTTTTTGGAGATTTCAAGCAAGTATGTATGCCAAAAAAAAAACACACACACTTGGCAGACCTAGTCAGGCCGCAAGTATGCGTAGGTCTTCTGTCGTCGGATCCAAAACACAAGCGAGCCACGACAGTGATAATAGTAATATAAGGTACAATATATGATAGGTAATGATTAGATCAAAATATGTACTGTAATTATTGCGTGTACAAAATATGTAAACAGCTATAGCCTGCATAACGGTGAGACGGGTTTTTTTTTTAAAGAAAAGTAAACGCTAAGCGCACAATATGACAAGACATTTTGTGTTCAAATCCAGCTAATCAACCGAACAAACGAAGAAACGTTTTCTATGCATCTATTTTATGGTAATAACTAATACATAGAGTATTTGTTGGACGCGCTAGGCCAGGCATGTGTATAGAATATATTTTGCTTTGCCGACTTACAGCCGGCTATAAGAAAAGTCGGCCGACAAGACGTTTTGCGCGCGCGGCGTTACTCACCCATGGCGGTTTTGAAGACGAGTTCGGAGGGCACACTGTAGCCTATGTCGTTGTGGGCTCGGACTTCGACTTTGTAGAAAGTGTCGGCGTTCAGGTTTTCCATCAGCAACGACGTCTTGTCCGGAGACTTGAGGTCTTCCGTTCTACATGACTCTCTCTTCTGCGTCCACACGGTGTTGATTTTTTCAATCTATCGCAACACAACAACGAGTGTTAGCGCGGTAAGAGACTTGAAGGACAAGAAAAATAATGCAGATGGGCGACGATGAAGTAAGTGAGGTTGATAGGTGTATTCAAATACTTAGGAGAGGACGTGAAAAATAGGACGAATTGTGGAGAGGATCGTCTCAGGTGTGTTTTATGCGATAGGAAGATGTGCTGTACAAAATATCTAAGTATAACAACATAATAATAGTATTGTTATCGTCTCACCACACAGTAGATGACGTTGTAGCGGTCGATGGGTTCGCCGTTGTCGGCCGGGATTTTCCAGTTCACCTCGTAGCTGTTGCCGTACGGCGAGTTTATGTAATCCTCGGTGTACACGTCTTTGGTGACCAAGATTTTGGGTTCTTCCGGGGCCGATCTCCTGGGCATGACACGCTGTTCGACCACTCCCCAGTCGCTGGTGCCCACCTCGTTGATGGCGGCGAACCTGAAATGGTACGTCCTTTGCGCCGATAACCCTTCCAATATGTACGGCGTATCTGTTGGTAAAAAAAACCGCCGTGTTATTATCGATCGGATCAATACTAAGGACGATTAACAAATCCCAACCGACCGTCGAGTTGGTCAACTGCTGTCGGTTGCGTACTTACCGACTGGCCAGGACTTGTTGCGCGCCTCGTCCCACGACTGGGTCAGCTCTTTGTATTGGACGGCGTACGCTTTGATTTTGATACCTCCCGTGTCCGTGGGTCCGACGAAACTGAACGAAATCGTTGTGGCTGCGAAAAACAATAAGTACTTAAATCGGTCATTTCGAAAAGGCAATATCTATAAATCATAGTTTTTCCAAAAAAAAGAAGAAAATCCCTTGTCGAACGCATTTGTTTAATTTGATGAACGGTTAAAAGCTCCAGGTCGTCTGGGTCGTTTATTGTAAAAGTGGTGTAAATAAAAAAAAATAAATAAACGGTAAGTTCATTTATAACATTACTTTTAGTTTCATTTTCTAAGTTACTACAAATTTGTAAAACCTTTGATTTGTAATTAGTGATAAAAAATAAAAAAACACTGAATGAATAATTGTATTTTTTTTTTGCTACACATTAATTTACAAAAAGCTCGTTATTTCAAAATTCAATTACAAGGAGATAGGTATTTCACTTTTACAATCAACGACACATATGGCTGGTATTTTATTTGTGCCATTTATGATGGAAGTACTTAGGCAAATGTTAAGTGAAAAAAAAACCTTAACATTTTAAACGGCTATAAACTGTAAAGTAAAAACATGCAGAGCTCTTCTTAAGGTAAGCACCGATGATATAAAAAAAAAAATCGAAAAAAGTAAGTTAGATCATAATCACGAAGCTGTCAGATCAAGTATTAATACGTGAAGGCCTGCCAAATTGGTAAATTCGAGTACATAGAGATATTTAAAAGAAAAACTTATTACAATTTATGTATACTGTTCACTTGATTTAAAAATGATCGATGGGAGGCTATTCGGATATCCTTGGGTGGTAACTCGGTTGACAAATATTGAATACCTGGCACGGGAAGCAGCTAGTACATAATTTTGACAGCTACATTTTGACACGCACAGACAAACTACCGATAGAAATCTTTCCAAGTATTTTTTTTTTAAGACAAAGAAAAAAAAATCATTACACGTCGTTTGATTTCAGCTCGGTCCATTTAAAAACACAACCTTAAAATAAGCTAACACTGGACTAGCGTTCTGAAATAAACCACAGTCGGCCACTTGGCAGGCGTTCAAAAACAAAACCATACACTATCTGAAAGGTGTCGGCTCTACGATTATCGTGTAATTATCACGTGGTAAGTACAAAATATATTTTTAGAACCTAAACCCTACGGTTTATTGTCGGAAAACGACACTCTTAAACAAATAGAACACAATACAACTATAAACACAGACTATATGAAAACAGATAGCCGGCTCGGAAATTTAAAAAGAAAACTGATAAGGGACTCGCGAAGGTATCAGTGTAGCCGCGTGAGTTAGTATAAATTATAGTGCGGTTACTACTATTGTACAAACTCCTTAACAGCCATAAAACTAATTGATAACTGACTATATGGGTATTATCACAGATAGGATATTTGCTTTTATCTAATCTGTGATGCTATGGTTGATGTTTACATGCCGAGTAAGCTATCTGTTTTCATATTATAGTCTGTGCTTTAACGATGAAAGTATAATGTCGTTTACCGGTGACGACCTCGAATTTGGCCTGGGATACCCTGGACGGCCGGTGAGCCTCTCGCAAAGTAATGTATGCGTTGTTCTCGCCGTGTATGTTCTTCGTGAAGCACGTGTACACGCCGTAATACCTTTGGTCCACCGGGGTGACCAAGAGGTCGCTGTAAGGGCCTTTGCCGAATTTCTTGACGTTCATGTCGTCCTCGACGATACGGTTGTTCAGCAGCCACGTGATGGACGCGTTGGGCAGCGACTCGGACACGCACGATAAGTTCACAGGTTTGGCGTTCCAAGTCCAAACTTCTTTGACCATGTTGCTGGCGTACACCGGCGGAAACTGCACGGTGAGGTGACCGTTTTTCATTGAGGATCCACCCTGAACATGCGATATACAACACATTAAACGTGGCCAACAACAAGACAACACAAGGACAAATTAATGGAGAAGCAATTTCAACGAGGAACAAAACAGACCTAGGAAGAGGATTATTTAAAGCTGAGATGGAGGGGTGTATAGTGATGGCGACAAAGACTCTAATGGAGTTATAAATGCCAGTAAAAAAGAACACATTAAACACAAAAGGAGAGCGGGAAAAAAAGGGGTGGTTCAGAAAGTATGATTAATTATCGATCATTTACCGAAGCATCGGCACATATTAATATTCCTTACCTTGTTGGACGCCATACAAGTGTAGAGACCATCGTCGGTGCGGTTCAGGTGCTTAATTACCAGAGTGGCAGTCGCCACGTCCCTGACGGTATCGTGCTCCACGCTAACACGGTAATCTTCGATTCCCGTTTTTATCACTACATCTGTGCCCACTCTCCTGCAAATTAAAGCAAAGATATTTAATGACTGCTATCATCACTCTGTGTCTCACCGCCGCCTCCCTCTTGTTATATATTTTATTATTATCGTTATTGACGACCCGACTTTTATTATGATTGGCCGTTTCGCATCTTAAATCAACCTGACGCGAATCAATAATATCATTTTACATTTTTGCCGTGGATCCATTCACATGAACAGATCCATTCAAAATGTAGTTTTAATACTGTACCTAAACACGATGGACGGCAGAGGGTTTCCATTGGCCGAGCATCGCATTCGAGCTTCGGTGTTTATGGGTTCCGAGATGTTGGTGACCTCCAAGATTTCCGGTTTGATCAGAACGACCACGTTGACCAAACGCTCAATAGTTCCGGCGGCGTTAGATGCCACACACTTGAATTTTCCGTTATCGCTTCGGCTTATCTTGTTCAGAGTCAACACACCAGTGATCTTGTTCACCGAGAACCGCTCGGACCCTTCGCTCAAGTCCCGCTGTTCCGGCATGTGTATCCAGGTGATTTTCGGTTCCGGTTTCCCATTGGCCGCACACTGGACACTGGCCATATCGCCTTCGACCAGTTCCAGCTGGGAAACTTGATCGGCCGCAAAAGTGGGCGGAATGTGTACCTGTGCAACAACAGGCGAAAGTGCATCATTAACCGTTTATTCAGAGTGTACTATCTGCTGGTTTTATCTATAATCTGACCCTACTGATGATTACTTTTTAAGACTGCCGTTCTTACCTCCACTCTGATGTCCCTGTCTTTAATGTTGCCCGTGTCCAAGACAATAGCGCGGCACTTGTATATGCCGTCGTCTTCGGCCGTCACGTTTTGTATAACCAACCCGTCGTATTCCTTGACGAACCGGTTGCCGTCCTGTATCTTGGTGTCTGCCCTGTACCATTCGACCAACGGCGCCGGATTGGCTTTGACTTTGCACCTTACTTTGTAGCTGGTGCCGGCGATCGGATACTGTTCGGTGGGGGCGTCCACCCAAGTGATGTCGTCTGAACGGATAAAAGAAGAAAATAAAATGATTGATTTTAAAGAAACAACACCCGGGCGGTTTTAACGGGGCTTACCGAAACTGTCGACTACGACGCTGTGGGCTAGGTACTCTGAATTGGAATAGGTGGCAGTGCAAGTGTATGTGCCCACGTCGGCTTCGGTTAGGCCGGTGATGACCAGCCCGAGATTGTTGTCGGAAGTGAATGTCGTAGTCACGTGAGCTCCGGCAGTCCTGAAAAGCACAAAACGGAAATTAATTATCCCTCCCTTTTCTACACATAACGGGGCTTAGAACACTTACGAAGTCTGATCGATTGTTCTGTTCTGCGGATCCAGCCATTTCAGGTTGGTGATGTATTCCGGTTGATCGACGTCGGGTTGGCAGTTCAGGATCAAAGAAGAACCGATCGGTTTCATTTGTCTGGGTTGTACCGGTTTGATTATCAACGACGGGTCTTTAGCCGCGACACCTGTAAGTAACATGATAACCTCGTTAAGTATATTTTATGTTTAATATGAATTACAATTTTTCAAGCATTTTTAATGAGCTACCGTTACCGTCTACAAATTGTTTTTTGTCATATTACACTTCTTAGCGATTAAATAGTTAAAATGTATACAGCAATATGGACTTGTACTATAAGAATAAAAACAATAGCGTTTCGAATTATGTCACTCCAAGCAAGATAACCAGCACCGAGCTTTACAAGAAAACTAATTATATTAAAAGTTTGAAATTCAACTGGAAATATTTTAATGTTAAAACAACCTTTAGCGTCAATATTTAACGCGAACACTCTTAGTAAACGATTTTATAAAAGACTAACAACTCCAACGAAACGAATTGTTTTTATTTTCGCGTTGAGATGTTGTTTAAGTCGATTGTCAGTTCATCAATTATTGTAATTTGCAAACTCACTTAGAACGTTCTTTTGCGTTTAAATTCAAAACAACATCAGCAGTATTTCTACATTTTGGACAATGCAAAAAAACAAGATGTTTTTTAACGAAAAGAAACTAAGTACACAACGAGTTTGTCTTTATTCGCATAACAGACCCGCTTCCCTGCCGATCGTTTATCTACACTCTGACAAATTGAATTAAGGGAATTAAAAATTAAATCTTATCGTTTATAGTTGACACGCAGTGGTATATTATTATTAATATGTATTATCCAAAACCGAATCAAAGTGGAAAAAGGCTGTGCTGCGTCAAATCAATTTCGAGGCGATAATTTCCAGAAGAAACATAACGCCACCCCAAAAATAAGCCTCGACCATAGTGGTGGTGGTTACGGCCAGGAGAGGAAGTTGATATACCCTCTGAATTAGTTACCTTGTTTACACAACAATCCCCCTTTGTGTAGGGGTTGGTGTGAGCATACACACACACAACTCCACCGCAATTTCCCATCGGGTTGGAACGACAGAGGCCGCAGAGGAGAAGGGGGGGGATTTAAATTAATTTGCCCCGGGGTCGTTTGGTTTCTAAGCTTGATGTTTTATTGGCACCCGCGGATTTGCCCGGTGTTAGACGGCAAGTAAGGGCGCTGCGATAGTCAATTAAGCGTGTCGTCCTCCTGCCTTCCAATTTCCACCAGAAAATATACGACTTGCCTCCACGCCCTGAGGTTTAGTTTTGCAGAAATAATAACGGCCAAGCGGCTATAAACAACGCCGAAATACCGTCTCACCTGCGACTATCAGATGCAATAGCCACTGAACCCGGTTTTATACCAAAAGTTGATTTACAATTAGGTTTAATTAAAAAAAAAAAACCTCCACATACTCTTGCCCGCAAGTATATAAAACAATTGTTTGTTTAAAAGTGTCTTTCATTCGTTTACTTTACAAGTAAAACACGTTTCATATGTTATACATTTTTTCAATGTGCTAACTAGGTAAACAGTATTAATAATTTAAGCAACACAATATAGTTTATAAGTTACATATTAAGGGCGAAATTATCAAGTTCTCACTTTATCTATAGCCGTAATAATGCAATGTAAATATATTTATTCTCAGTTGAACTTCAGAGTTTCACAATTTTAAGCAAATGGTTGACACGGTTTTAATTTGATCAGCTTAATACACAAACAATAATATACATTTTGGATAGTTGTATGAATTAGTTCATTTTGCTTTTATAAAAATAAATTTAATCTTCAATTAAGTTTTCCCATAAACGGTTGGTGTACATAATTTTGTAGACAGACACGTTGTGTAAAGATATGATAATTTGTATAACTACCGCTGTGGTGATCATGTTTACTTGGTTTCTTTGCCCGGTAGACGCGACGTACTTAGTAATTATTTATTTACCGTACATTAATGAATACCCTCTCAAACTTTAATAATAAACATAATTTTAAGTTTACTAGAAGTAGACGGTACGGGTTTTGCTACACTGCATAATGAATCCCCACGATGCTAAATAACGGCAAATAAATACACAAACTTTGTCAATTTATTTATTTTGTCACCAGTATACATACCGTATAACTGCATTGTACATTCAAAGGATGAATATGAAATAAATATAAAACCAAATGGAGTGGGGTGTTATGAGTTAAAATTCCATATTTTTATTACATCATCTTAACGCAGATCAGATAGCTGCTAAAAAAAGAGAGCGAGCCGATATGAGTTGATATTAGTTAATATTAAGAACACACCGAGTCGGGTAGTTGTAAAAATAAAAAAGCGTTGGCTACAATTAAAGAGATAGATGCAAATTAATAATCGAATATAGTATTATAATTTACAACTGTAACAAAGATAATCTTACTATGACAGAACTCAGAAGTAGCATGGCCAACTAAATTTCTGCGGCTATTATATTTTAAACCAAGGCTGCGGACAATGCACGTTGAAACAATGGGGTTTTAATTGATTTTCGGTTGCAATTATTGTTGTTATCGTTAAGGGCAAAATAGATTATTATTATATTCAGGCCGAGATTGTGCGCGCCTGAACACAAAATTATGATCATTCTACATCACACATCAATGTTTTGTTTTCCAAGCCGCAATGAAACGTGCGGATGGGAAATAATATTAACAATAAACGGCCGGTGGCCGTTTTCAAATGTCAGGTTTTATCTTCAGAACGCAGAGAAATAGCGAAGTGATTCCCACTTGGGAAATACACAGTGAGAGAAAACCAATTAGCTAATTAGACAGTATGTTTACTCGGGCTAGTGTTTAGGACTAAGACGACATTTTGATCTTTTACTTAAACACGTCGGTTCGTGGCGGTACCGACTTATCATATTTCTAAGGCGTAATGCTGTATACTCTTGTTAGCATCACACGATGGAAGCTTTGTCAGCTGTTCAAAACAAAAAACGATAACTCGAACAATAAATTAAACGTAAGCAATCCAGCTCTTCTTTTATGGCTCTACTACAATGTTTTGTATAAAACAAGTAGTAAAAAAAAAAAAAAATAGATAGTTACGTCAAATATAACATGTCTAACAATACAAATTAGACGCAATACTTATGAAGATGGTTTGTTGTCAAACGGGAACAAGAAAGTTTAATTTGAGTGTAGTAATAATAAGACTTACAAGTATAATAGAAGAAGCTACGTAATCACAAACGAGTAGAATGCAGAAGAGAAATGTAATGGTAATTTATAGACAGACTTCAACAAATTATCATATTAGAATTTAATGCAATCACGTGATCAAAACAACTTTAATGGAGTGTGCAAGATCTACTACCGAGTCAAGACGGTCGGTAGTTACACGACGGTGTCTGTGGTTTTGATTAATAAATAAACGCAATGCGCTCCGTCTTAATCCTACGGAATTTGCATGATTTTCTCTAAAAGGAATATTCTCTTTTAAAACACAGTTGTTACTTGAAATCAAATCCAGCTAATTTCTATGACAGCTACTACCGTTGAATATTCGTCTTAATACTACACGAGGGGCATAGCAGGCCTCAATTTTCGTTCTAAAGATTTATTGACACTTAAGTAGGCGCGCGTTTGCAAATACCCAGACTACCCTTGGAAAAAATGCGTACCGATCATGTACTTTCGGTAATATCAAAAGTTTTTACGAGGCCTTTCTCTGTATATGCTAATTGATCTATCTGGAGAGCATTTTCTCGCGTACCAACACACACCCCCATTGACAATAGCGTAACCGGTAAACGTTCACCCCTCTAGAGTACACCACACGCACGCAGCTTGTGCAAATCGAATTTATTTTAAACCAATGGTCTGAATACAAAACGATTTTTCCATGTATAATAACGTCATATACACACGAGCACCGCCAATCGCTAAACAACAATTGTAACCACTCAATTACCACCGCCGAGCAAACTTCTTTCTTTATTATCCATCACACACCGAAATTGCACTTGAACGACCAACGGCGAAATGTCTCAGAATTCAAATTGCAGTTGCTTCGGATGTCAATACTATCCCGTAGGGAGTAATACTAATACAATCGGTTGAATTTGTACAAATCAGCACCTACGTTTATCGTGCGTTTTACCGGCGATCCCCGTGCTATACTATAGATCCCACATCGAATTTACCCAGAAGATCTAGAATCGGGATGTATAACAGCTGCTGGCATCCGCACAATAGACGACGGCGACCGTCGATCAAAATAAACACAACACCGCGGTGCACACAACCTGCATCGTATCGCATTATTATGATGTGGGCAGGCGGAAATCGATCATGTTTCAAAAATGTATTTTAACGGGGTTGGTTTTTCTCAGATTTCATCAGGGCATTGCCACAGTGATTGATCAGTGGCGACGGGACATCACGTACTCACGAGAGGAATATATGAGGGGCAAGGGGGAGGGGGAGGGGGTGCATAACGAAGGGATACGTCGCGTAACGAAATTGTGTTGTCACAGGGTGTGTGTGTGGTGTTTACAATGTGAATCACGTGCCGAGGGGATTCGGCAATTAAACCGTGTCTCGGTATAATCTCGCGAAAACGCCATAGCCGTCCATAGCCACGGATAATGCTGTATAAAAAAAAAATTCAACAAAATAATTGTATTCATAGCGACCTTTTTTTCGGCGTCAATTAGCAGATATAGACAATAGCAGCACTCGTGTTTGGAATAATATCGTAACCGTTTGTCTAAAATACATGTGCGTCTGTTTAAAACGACACCACTATGTAACCCTTTCAACAAAAAAAATACACCCATTATCGCAAATGATCATTTATTTCACCGCAATAACACACACACACACACACACACGCACGTGCAGATTTTATCCATCTGCTGTGTACTGGTTTTTTTTTTGTAATGTGGTACCCGACGGCGTTGCTGGTTTTTTTTACATGATAAAAAACGTCAGACTGTAAGTCGGTATAGATGAAACACCGACTTAACGGAGACCACAATTATTTCGAAACCCGTATCGAAATACTTGACAAACGGACTGCGTTGTTGTGTCATTGGTTCGGATATATTGTAGTAATTA